TTAAGTTTATTAACAGCTAGGAAGTACCTGTGTTGATTTCTATTCTATGATTTTTTTTTTTGTTTCTAAATTATGAATGAAAAAAATGCATTTAAAAGTTTGTTAACTCTCTCAATCTTTTGCTTTAATATGTTGTATGTCTTGCAGTGGGGAATTTGCTCTTTGGCTCGATGGGGATCTCTACCATGGAAGAAGTCATTCATGCAAAACATTTGGGAATCACACGCTTTCTAAGAGAGAAGACTTCATTATTCAAGACATAGAAATTTGGGCTTTTGAATGAGTTGTAAATGAGAACTGTTTCTACAGGGTATTGTCCCAAACCTGAAATTAATCAATGCATCTTGAAATCCCCATGAGCAATATAATGCACCAGTTTACTTTTTTTTTTTTTTGTAGTTTTCAGCGTGGCCATTTAGTTATTTTGCAATAGTGGACTTTTTTCATGCTTCTTTGTCTGCAATATACTGACTTTTTCTAAGCTGTAGAAACAAGCAAAAAAAAAAAAAAAAAAAAACAAATGCAGACTGTGGACTGAAAAAAAGAACATCAGTTACTTTGATCCTTGCAGTCTATAAAACTTCATCGTCTTTTTACATTTGCCTCCCAGGTTTCCCACACACATCTTTCTGTAAATCCTACTGGGGGCTGCTTCATTGAATATAGGTTATTATTTTTGTATTTAAATTTTATCTGAGAATGAAGTTGCCCTCTATGATGTATGTAAGTAGAAAGCTGCGTGTAGGTACTTGGAAGCAGTACTGCAGTGATTGGTCTGGACCAACAATGGATAATACTGTTACGGTGCCACAGAGGAGAAGCCTTGCATTCCTTCTTTGACACATACTGGTACACTTCTGGTTGAGTTAAAAGACATCCAAAGTCAGCAGTGCCATTTGTCTCAATTTTTTTTCTTCACGTTACGAAAGTGAGTTAAACAATGTGTTCTAGCTTGCATGATGGCTGTATTAGTGTTCTGCACATGGTGTTAATGATCTGCAGGTTTGGGACAATAACTGACAATATTGAGCTACATGGCAAAGACTTAAAATAATAATAATAATAATAACAATAATAATAAGGGAATGTAAGAATGTAATAGTTCCAGGAAACTAAAAGGCTAAGGCAAGTGAAACTCAAGACAATTTGTAGCTATAGTAGGGCATTAAAAGTACAAAGACTATGAAACAAATGCATCTTTCAACATAGTGTCAGATATATACTGTTATACTCTTGTAGCTGTGTAGCACATCAACTCCAAGAATATAGCTTATTCCTGTCCAAAGAAAAAATAATTGTGATGTTTTTTTGAGTGGGTCTATGTTGTAAATTTACAGTTAGCACCAGCTCTGATTAAAATGAGACAATGTACTATAGGTAGACAATATTGTAATTCAGTAGACTTGTGGAATATGCAAACTTACTGTCATGTGACCTCAAAAAATGACAGACTAGTACACAGTTCCAGTAGCTCTTGTCCACTTTTGTAGGAAAGTTGATAAGCCATTGTGGCAATAACAGCTCAACAAAATTGTTTGTTTCAAAGCTTTTAATCTATGTTCTGCAAAAAAGAAAAAAAAGAAAAAAATTGCTGTTAAGTGTGACAGTGACTGACTTTGTGCTGAAATTTCAGCTATTTCAGATAAACATTGTATATTATCTTGTAAATTAATGTTTAAAGTAGTTTTGTTATTATAGAAAAGTGTTGATCGACGGGTTGCTTATAGCACTTTAAATTATTCTAGAAATGGAATAAAGGCCAAATGAATTGGCTTAAGTAGATGTAGTTGTATATTTCAAAATATTTAGATATTGGAAAGTTTTAAAAATTTATTTGAAGACAGTTTACTGCTATGGTAATGAGAAAGGGCAGATGGTTCATCTTATAATATGCTAATGCTCTATATGAATAGAAATACAGGGCTTTGTTTCCTGTCTCTGTGTATAGCTCTTTATCCTTATTAGAACTTAGTACAATGTGTAGACTAAATGTTTACAAAATAAGAAAGTGTAAATAAACTAAAATGGCTTTTCTCCCTTTGGTCTTCCACAGCAGTATTATTGTCTTTGTGGAGTTAAGACTGATTATTGCAAAAAGAGAATCCTGTAATGGATTTTAAATACTCTAAGGTCACAGTGATGTATAGCAAATAAATCTAAATCTATGTAAAAATAATCTTGAGTTGGGGTTTATTTAGAAGTTGGAGCTCGCTTAGGAGCACAAATGCAGGTTGTTATTGTTAATTTCATAACTTTATAGAATTCAGTTGCTCACCCTTAAGCACTAACGATCATTTCTTACTCTTTTGATGTGCAATAAGTATTTAGAAAATGTCTGGCCAAAATCTGCAAGAGTGGGAGCAAAAATATAAGTGCAGCTGGTTTTGTTTTCTCAAGAATCTGTGCCTTTGTTAGTGTCCTCTTTCTTTCTAGTAATATCAAAAGATAAATGGCTACTAGAAGTATCAGATAGAATTGTGTGAGTTAGAAGGGGCCCCTGGAGTTCTTAACTTTGCAATGAACTCAGCTAAATAATATTGTCAACAGTTTCAGTCTACATTTCTGTAATGCCCTGGGAGGCAATATTGATTCATAAAGCAGTATTGGTTGAGGCAGGTCCCCTCTTTCCATGCCTGAACTGCTGCTTGCTCATCTGCTGCATGCATAAGATTGCACAGAATACATCTGAAATATTAGGGAAAAAGAGAGAGACTTTCAAGGTTGTCTCCCCTCAGTCTTCATTTTTGAAAGCCCAATGGGAGGTGGTGAGATTAAAATACACTTGTCAGCCATTTTCAAGAAAACTATGATGAGCCTAATCTCTGTTGTGTTGCTTTATAATAGGATGGGATTTCTTGTGAGCAGAAATATGTGATTCAATTAACATTTCACAGAATTATAGCACAGGTGAGGTTGACGGGGGCCCAGACCCATGCACGCATCACTTCTGAAGGTCTCCAAGGAGGAGACCCCTCAGCCTCCGGGCAGCCTGTTCTTCCTTGGTGGTGTATTCTTTGTACAGGTATCTAATATTCCAACTGTTACATTTTCATGTTCCTTGAAATCATCTTCTGATGCTTCTGACAGAGAAAGCTCCATAGGAGAATACTTTAACAGCCTGTGAACAGGAGAAGGTAGTCATGGTAGTCATACTTCAAAATAACCTATTACCGTTCTACTTCTGAGAAGATGAACGTGTATTTATTTTCTGGTGTTTGAGAGAAGGAACCAAAGAAATGAATATTTTATTTATAATTCATATATTCCTTTGACAAGCAGACTTTCTCAAAACAACTGTAAGGATAAGGTAAAAATATGCCAATATCTAATTATTATGTTTTGAAGTCAGTTGTGCAGATCTATTTGAGTAGTCTGAGAGATCTCAGTATAAATGCCAAAGAAATGCTATTGAATTCTTCTAGTAGAATGTTTTTTCTTCCTTATATTCACAACAAATTACTGTGCCTCAAATAATGTTTTATGCCAACTTACAATAAACACTTAGTAACCAGTTCTTGCATCACTTGCTGTTAAAATATATAATTCATATGTTCATTGGATGTTCAAACTGGAATACCTGTAGTCTCATGATATGTTAGCAGCATTTGATTTATGACAGGATGTTCATTCAGCCTTCTGTAAGAAAATATTTGCTCTTTCAGCTTGAATGTTCAGAGTCTTCTGAGGGGGGAGAAAACTTTTCTCATTATGCAAATTACTTATCCAGGTCTCTTGTTGTGTAACAAATGCTTTGCATAGAAAGCGTTCTTAACAGCATAGGGTTTGTTTGTTTGCTCTTTTTGGTTTTTCCACGTTACACCGGTGGCATTGTGATCCATCTAATCCAGTAAGCTGTATAAGCCTTATAGAGTTCTCGGATTTGGGTAAAAGGCAAAACGCAGTTTTTAGACACTAGACTGTTCGTTCATGGGGATGCATTTCTCTTCAGCATCCCCTACTCAAATACACGATTTCAGCAATGTCAGAATAATTAAAACAACAAATACTGTAGAATTAGGCTGGTGTTTTTGGATACTGCACAACACCACTTCCCTTGAAGTCAGTTGTTTTCAGGTCTGGAGAACACTGCTTCTGTATCTTTTCTCATAGGAGTACAATTCAGTAGAAGGTGTAATCACTTGTTCACTGTAAACATCAATGCAATCACATGACTGTTCCTTTTACATTAGGTGTTATTTCCCCCCGTATTTACAAGAAAGGTATTTCCATAGTTATTCCCTTTTCATGTTTTCTACATCTGTTCTAAACACTTTGTGCTTCATGGCTGATGACCAGAAGGCACAAAATAGGCTATAACTAAAAACATTTAATAAATTATATAAATTATTAAATAAAAAAGTCTTGCTTATAAAAGATTTGTCTTAGTTTCTGTGATATCTAAGAGAAAGTTGGCAGTAGCTGTCACTGCAGTAGTATTTGCTTATAGTATTTGTAAAAGAAATAAATTTGTCATTCTTGGTTGTGTACAAATAAACCTTTTTTACATGCACTGGAATAGATTAGTTAGAAAATATGCACGTAAGATCAAAAATTTGGTCTGAGTTTAGTTCATCATTCTTCTTCACACCAGATGCTTCTGATCTGGTGTGGTTTATATTCCCTGTTTAAATAGTTGAGAGGAACTTGAATGTAAGAATAAGTTAAAATAAGTTTAAAAAAAAAAAAAAAGGAATTCATTTACAGCCATTTGTGTTCTTACAAGTTTCTATATTTATCTGCTTATGTTTTTTCTTTTTTTCTTATTTGCTTTGTGTATAGTAATTAAGTTAAGTGTCCTGGTAAGCTTTCCTGGTATAGAAAAAAAAAAATTCATTTGGATGCTTATATTTATTATGCAACAGTTATAAAGCTTGTATTTAGAAAAATGCTCAATGAATTTTCTGTCCAGGGACTGGAGAAAATCTTATATTCCAAATGTGCGAAAGCTAATAGCAGAGGAAAGATGAGGTTTTCCAAGGCGTGTTGCTCTTGGAGCATGCTTATTTTAATAATGTAATTATGACGTTGTCATCCCTTCCTTGCCATAACATTTCTCCCTCAAAGTCCACCAGCCCATGTTTCCTGGCTCTCATGAGAATCCCAACAACCTTATCTGAAATACGAACATATCTCTCAAAGAGTTCTCCAAAAGTGACTTGGATCTTGCCGTCACTCCGTGGCTCAGCCATGGTTTTAATGATGAAACACAGGTCTTTAATCTCCCTGTGAATGTGAGCCTCTGCTCTCTTGGCCCTTTCAGCGGTTTTGGTGCCTTCCTTGGGCCGGCCGTAGCCTTTGTCTCCTTTGTGCAGGCGTGTGGACATGGCCAGTTCGTGGTCAAAATCTTCACTGAAGGGATTCAGCTTCTGCGTTATGATGTGCTGGTCTGCCCATTCCTGCCATCTGTTCTTCAGGCTGCTAACGGGACTGTACTTCCTATGAGCTTTGATGCTTCTTTCTTCGTTGCACTTGTTCATGCTGAAAGAGACAAGGCATTTCAGCTTTGCATTTCATAATTCAATTACGATTCTGCTGCTGATCTTTTTCAATGTATACATGTATATCGTTTTCTAGAGCAGATGGTAACCACCAGGTGGCATATTTTCCTCAGTTCTAAACTAATTCTTTAGGAATCTTTAGTCAAGATTTCAGTTGGCCCTGAAAAGCAAATTCACCGACAGCTTGATTTCATCTTTGGTACTGCCTTCAAGTCTAGATTTGAGTCCAGAGTTCATATTCTCACTAGTAAGGGTGCAAGGCTGGAAGAAACTTGAGGCTACTAATCTTCAGAGGTCTTAACTGATTTTGTATTTTTATGTGTGTGTGTTTGTGTGTGTGTGTGTGTGTGTGTGTGTGTGTGTAGCAGTATCACTGAATGGCTGCAGGCAGGCCGGCTGTTGATGTTCTTTCCTCTTGTGGCCAGTGTCATGTTGTGAGAGAGAGTCTGAGCTAGTTTTTGTGCTGTCTGCATCCTGACAGTGTGTTGCCTAGAGAGTATAGTGTGCTGTGGCTATACCAAAGTGATTTGTTTTCTAATATTTTTAGCCCCCAGAAGGCTGCACTGAAACCACCCCAGTAATACCTGATTATTTTTAACAACAAAAGTACAGTTATCAGAACACTGCAAGCTTGCTGCGTGTTTTGTTTTCTGCTAAGCTTGTTGAAAGAGATGAGAAAGTATGGCACAGATGTCCCCTGTTCAGGTCTGTGCACCAGAAGGTTGGCAGTGCTGGGCAGTGCTGGTTCAAGTGCAAACCCCTCATGCCTAGCAAAGAAGATGGTGTAGGAGATTGAACATTCTTTTCAGCTCTGGAGTTCCATTCGCTTGGCTTAGCTGTATTGAGAAATTGTACTGGAAAGCTCCAAAAATGCTTCATAGTCAATATGATAAAAAGCACAAGAAGAATCAGGCTGCTGCGTCTTTCCCAGGGCCCTCTGAGAAAATCCTGAATCTGCAGTTCCCCATGTAGAGAGGAGAATCTGGCAGTAAGCGAGATGGCTAAGCTCTATAAAAGCTTTTTAATGTCATTTTATTTGAATTGTCTAGTGAGTTTTCTCACCTTTTCCTACTGAAGCCTTTATTTCTCTTTTCATGCCTCCTCAGTGGCTGAGAAAAACACCCCCATATCGATCACTTTGCTTTTATCATGCTCTGTGTGGGTTTGGGAGATCAATATTGTTAATCTTTTAATGTATTTGCTTGCTATAATTGCTAAAGTGCAATTTTCCTCATTGCTTAAGTTGTTGATGAGTTAATGTAGTAAACTATCATAGACCTGGAATCACTTTTTTCATGTCTGTGCAGCACATAAGTGGATTGGGGATCCAAATTGAAGATTGTGAGCTTTAACATACTGTAGTAAGTCAACTATGAGTAACGAGTATCCTGCATTAACAGGCTACTGTTACGCTAAGCGATAACACTGATTGCATCCTGAACTTGCAGGAGGACAGCATCCATGTCCTGCATTCTCTACTATTCTGTTTGCAGGAGAGAAGCAAAACGTTTTAGTTTTGAATTTCTTCTCTTCTTTAGGAGTCCCTTTGACTCCTAAAATGAAAGTAGTAGTACTTACTAAGCCTGTGGAAGTTAACATTCATTCAATGAAGGAAAACAGCCTGATTGCAGTAAACACTGAAGCTGGAAGCCATGAAAATGTGGTTCACACCGATTTTTTTTTTTTCTTTTTTTTTTCCTGGGATATAGTGTGGAAAACAGGAGATGTGCTTTAACAATCGTATACTTTTGGACTTTTTGAAGATTTAATCCAACCGAGAGGTTCTTAAAAGTAACAGACTGAAATAATATATTCTGAGGCTATTAAAGAAAAAAAAAAAAAAATCCAGTCCTGCTGCTGGCATATTAAATGAAGAAAATGATTCCTGCAGATTTCAGTGGAAGGGATAGCAGTGAGCGTGATAGGATATTATTTCTGTCATTTTCACTTCAGTGCTCTTCTATTTTCCCACAGGTAACAGGCATATGGAGAAAACATGTAAGTTTTAAAAGAAAGAAAGCTGATTTGCCCATACTTTAATGTTTTTAGCAAGCAGTTTGTTTTAATTGGTGTTATTTACAGGTAATATGCTGCAAACTTATCCCCTTTCCCCCCACTATCTATGTGAAACCTTTGTTTTAATGCTTTGTTCTTGAGCTCATTTCTGTATAAGGACTGCACTGGTCTCCCAACAGTAGGGACCACAGACTTTAAAGCTCTGGATTACTGGAGAGCTATTCCAGTGAGGCCCATAACGATTTGTTCCTTCTGAGAGATGACTGGTCTGTTACATAGCAAAGCGTCAGGAAGCGGTGTCCTGGTGCCAACCCTTGACCTTCTTGCAGGCTCATGAGGACAGGCTCTGGCCCAGCTGCAGTTAAGCCTCAGCAAAGACTTAGCACACCCTGCCCTCAGAGGCTGTGCCCTCCTTATTCACACATTTAAAGTTAGATGTGAGGTTGTACACCAAAACAGTTCAGGCTTGATCATTCGTTCATGCCTTCTGTCTATGCTCTGCGACATCACAGTGTTTGTGAAGCAGAGCAGTGGGGCAAATTGTGCCACATCTAATGGCTGCCTACAGCTTCCCCTCGTGAGGCATGCAGACCTTTTCATCTTTTGCTGAGAAGAGCGTGATGAATGAGTTTGGCAGCTACCCTCTGGCAAGTCTGGCTCCAGCACAGCTGTTTGTAGCTGTTTTCTGGAAAGGTTGTTCTGCCAGAGCTCTCAGGGAAACAAGAATTTCTACCAGCTTCTGCTGTTCCTTGGCTGTCTTGGGACACTCCTCAGGCTGCAGCTGAACCTTACTTGTTCATTACCTGGTTCCAAACGAAGCTGCTGTTATGTAGTAATCTTCAAGCACAGTCCTCTTATTGAAAGAAGTCTTTCCCAAAACTGTCTGTTGCTATGATTTTGATTGCTACTTAATTCAAAATTCTTAGTGGAACTAGTAAAATCTACTTCTGTAAGTAATAGATTCTGCTTATTGCTTTTTGTTCGCACCAGTCAGAAAGTTTGTATGTCAGAAACTTCCATGTTTGATGTAAATTCTTTTTTTTTTTTCTATTGATACTGTAGAGAGGCTTTGAATTTGAAGAATTTCAATGATTTAAAAATTCTTTTTGTCAAGTGTTTTATAACATGATTTATAAATTATTTATAGCACAGCATGATTCAAATCAAACTTCAAGTAGTAAGAGGCAGGCTGGATGCTTTCTAATATGTATTTGGGGTCCCATTCTTTGAGCTGGTGAATTCCAATTTCCAAAACTTCCAAGGAGAAGTAGTGAACCCAGCTTTGGTTGAGATTTACTTAGAAGTAATTCCAGCTGTATCTCTTTTTGGACATTCTATGCAAATTATGCCTAAGAATGTTTGCAGTTTGTACAAAGCAAAATAAGTATTTGGAAATATTATTTGCTTAAGAGCATTTCTTCAGACTTGGTGTTTGCAGAAATAAATGAATAGCTGTGGGTTCTTGATGTGGAACAAAATGTTAATCTGGAATACGGACAAAAACATTAAGAAATAAGTAGTGGCTTAGATGAACTGATAAATCCAGTGTCAAATTTAGTGACATTTCCTAAATATAACTTCCCCCTTCTCTAATGTGTGTAGTCCTTGAAACCCGAGTCTATAGTCAGATGTTACCAAGGATTAAGCCACTTAAACGTAGATACGTGAATGGTTTTCTGGATAGGTTGTTTTTGGTTGTTGGTTATTTTCACTCTCTTTTGCATTCGAGAGAATGCTTTCTCTTTGACCGTGTCCTGTGATATTTTTTTTTTTTTTTTTTTTTTTGTCCTGATTTCATTTCCTTTCTCTCTCAAAGAATTTTGGTCCTGCATCATGGCCTGCTGATCTGACTATTCCTGATACTGTAACAAAGGTGTTTTACTTACAGAGATGGTTGTTTGACCTTCACAGGGATCACCTCTGGCTCAAGTCTGTCTTCTGCTTCCCCATAGCCACTGTCTTCTGCATCCATGCTGTCATCGTGGCACTTCAACAGCAGTTCTTCCCTAGTTCCTAATTTGTCCTTCTCTTTAAAGCCCTCAATGGCGTCTGATACTCTGTTTGAACATTTTCTCCTTATAGTGGGAGATAATTTCCCATTAAGAATTTTGTCGATACCATTTGATTCTTCTTTGAACTTGGTCGTCTCTGAGCCGCCGTGGTTGTTCTCATATCTGCCACTGAGGAGGCTAACATCACTTGCTCGTTCATAGGCTTTGCTTACAACAGTTTTCAGCACCTCTTTGCTTTTAATGTTGAACTTTTTAAGGGCTTCATCAGATTCTCTTGACCTTTTTTCAGCATTTCTTGCCACCAGTTCATTTGCTGAGGGTTTTTCATCGTCCCTCTTGGTAGATGGAACTGGCCATTTTTCAGAGTGTCTTTCTTGCACTGGCTGAGCTGATACATCTCCTGCAGTGGGGACCCACCCAGGGGGTTCTTGGGCTTGCTTTACATTGCGGTCACTTACCCACTGCTGCCATCCTCGAGCTAAGCTGAAGACAAGGCTGGCGGTTCGGATCTTGTGGACAGCTCTTTTCACAGGAGTCGTGTTCGGCTTCTCTTCAGGGGCCGTGTTGCTGTCTGCTGCCATTCTGCTGTTTAGCTTTCTGCTAGGTACCTCCTGAAGGAACTTTCTGAAGCAAGTAACATCCAGCGAAGAAGCAGCAGAGGTTTAAATAGAAGCGGGAGCAGTTTGTGCCCATGGAAAATATGTGAAACACTTGTCACAAAGATACAGTATCCTCACCATGACGGAGTTCTTTTTTTAAAATGGGTTCACGTTTCATCACAGCAGATGAATGATGCATGGTGTAGACAGGGTGACATAGGCCTGCACAAGAACAGTGAGAAATTCACAGCTTCTTTGGGCTTTCTTCTCTGGGACTGTTCAATTCCCAGTTTGTTGGTGAGTGACTTGGTCTTCTGGAAGTGCATAACTTGGGTTAAAGATATTGAACAAGGTGTCTGAAATGGCTCGTGTTAAATGCTGTCAGTTGCTGACAACTTTGGCCAGAGGAGAGACTGCTCAGCATCACAAGTGCAAGGTTCCCTTACAGTGTCAGCAGCCTATGAATGAGACATTTTTAGATTCATTTTCTAAAATGATACTAGGTAATTTCATTTTATTGTGCATATATCCAAGAAAAGTAAGTTGTTTCTTTTTTTTTTTTTTTTTTTTTTTTTTTTCCTACGAGATATCTACATGCTCTATTTTTTTCTTATCTACTTATGTCTGCCTAGGAGGGCTGCAAAGATGATAAAAGCCTCCACAGGGGAAAATGAGAGGGGCGCTGAGGTCTCTCGTTTTCGGCCCAGAGCAGAGGAGCTGAGGGGAGGCCCGATGGCGGCTGCAGCTCCTCACAGGGAGCGGAGGGGCAGCGCTGAGCTCTGCTCCGTGTGACAGCGACAGGGCCCGAGGGAACGGCATGGAGCTGCGTCAGGGGAGGGGCGGGTGGCGGTCAGGGACAGGGGCTGCAGCGGAGGGCGGCGGGCACGGCTCCGAGCTGCCGAAGCTCAAGAAGCATCTGGACACTGCTCTTAGACATATGGTCTGATTTTTGGGTGGTCCTGTGTGGAGCCAGGAGTTGAACTCAGTGATCCTTATGTATCCCTTCCGACTTGGGGTATTTTATGATTCTGTGATTTACAATGTATCTCTAGGGGGTCTAGGAACACTGTCGTGTTTGATGTCAGTGCTAAGAGTTAGTGAACTGCTGTTTCTAGTCCGAAGGTGAATATAAGAAGTCTGACTTGATTGGATGGATGAATGACCTAATTTTTATTTCAGGCTTTGAAAAAAAAATGATGTGAAACCTATTTCATTTCTGGCTTTTTTTCAAGGATGTTGTGTACAAAAATTATAAAAAAATATTTTGTTGTATGTTATTCACACCAAAATTATTCTTAGTACTTACAATATAGGAAAAAAGAAATTGTTTCTTTTCCATTCTAGAGGACTTTCTGGAGAGCAGGCATATTTGGATTTATAAAATTATTTGTTTATTCGGTGAATTGATACATCAACTGTTACATAATAATAAACAGTTTGGGAGTTATAGTCTTATAGTATCTTATTTCCTACTATAATGTTTCCTAAATGGGAAACGAAAATGGCATTGCTTTTTCCATTCATCATACCTTGCAACACAGTGACTGACTTGCCATGTCAGACAGGCAAACTGAACTTGAAGGAATTCCGTTGGCTTCACCGATGGCGTACTGGAGATAAATATGGACTCCTGCTGCTCTGCTTCTTTCTCTTCTCTCTTTTAAAGGCTGCACTGTTGGAAATAGGTTAGATCATATTTAGTTTCTGTTTAATAATAAAAGGCTTAATCATACCTTTGACTTGCAGGCAGAATTCCTCATTAATCTCTTGGGTCATTTCCTCTTCAAAACTGATGACATAATGTAGGTTAGTGTTGCTATTTGATATTTACTCATACTTTTTTTTAGAAAGAAATGTATGACCTCAGTATACTGTACAATCTTAGCTATTACCAGCTGCATCATAATTCTGATATGGCATTGTGAGGTGTACTGGGACAACCTGATTAAGAAGTGTGTCACTGAATGTTTATTATTTCTAAAGGCTGGTTAGGAATTGGAGCTTCTTGTGTTTAAAAGCACAGTGGTGCATACATGCACAAGTACAGGGTGATGCATGTTCCTTAATTGCTACATAAGATGAAGTTGAAAGAAGAGTATAACGTGTAGGATATAAAGAACACAAGCTCTTTATGTCATTTCCTATGATTCTTTGAGGATAGAAGTAGCCAGGACTTTAAGAATGCGTTGTTACAAAATTGCATTCTGTTTTGTTCTGTTTGTTTTATATTTGGCATGATGAATCTGATTTTTAATGCCCATTCCAGTGTTCTTGCAACTTCAGTCACAGGGTCATAGAATGGTTTGGGTTGGAAGGGACCATGACAGTCATCTAGTTCTAACCCCTGTAATTCATAAGCATATTGTTTGTTCCATTTTTGGAAATGAGCAAAAATAACAGGTAAGTTTAAAGAAAACAGTGAGCACATCCAGTTTGTTGGAGAGTTATTGTTATTTGTTTTCATGTGGTTTTCCAGTTAATTTTGTGCTATTCAAGTGAATTTTGCAGATGTGACAAAAAAGAAAATTAATGTTGCATTTGCTGCACTTGCTCATCCATAAAAGATGGCTGTGTTTTGCTATAAAAAGGAATTAAAATCTGTTTAATGTGGTTTTTCAAGTCAAAATTGTTTGTACATCTCCTTGCTGAAGGGCTCTGCTAGATTTATTACTGTAGTTATTGTTGAGGTTCTTAAACTTCTTTACTCTCATGCCATCTCTGCACATCGTTGTCTTGAAATTCTATTCATAGTAATAAAAAAGCATTCCACTCCTTAGGAGAGTTTGGAAATTATAAGAATTTCTAAGAATTTATGAATAAAGAGAATTTGTTTTTCTAATGGGCTTTGATGTACTAATCATTGTCTCACAGTCTTAGAGCTTACAAAGTTTAGATAAATGGCAGCAAAAAGTCACGGACTATTGAAATTGAACACCAAGATTACAGTTGCAAACTACTATTAAATCCATGTTGCATGATAGTATGTTAAACGTATGGTTAGTTTAAATTTGCCACTATTTTAAGTTTTAACATCAGCTTAGGCCAGTGAAACTTTGAACTAATTATTCCATGACAACTAAATCTTTTATATTTAATTTTAGAATGTATAATCATGTCTTGAAAGTATTTAATGGTACCTTTTTTATATATGACATCTCCAGTGCGAAGTCAATCATGAGAAGTCTAAGTAAAGTTTGAGTCATCCAGTCAGATTTATACTTGGTGGGTTGATTGCTTATGTTTCACTGCACTAAGAGTACATTTTTTTGAACGTATATACACATACAATTTTTTTAGTGGCCAATGCTACATTTCAATGTCTGTGCCTAACACCCCTACTGGCTCTTCTAAAAGCCAACAGCCAGCTACCAGGGTATGCCTCATGTTCTAATGTGCAGCAAGACGTGGTGTGGTGACTACATTACGGACACAATTAGGCACAATTTATTACAGAAGGTGTATGGGAGGAATCATATCTGGAGCAGGTAAATAAATTAGTAGGCTTGACATCCCGTTTTGGAATTCAGTCTCTGACATCTTGAGACATGTCTTCTCAAGTTCTTAGGTCCTCATTGCTCCTTTTCAATTTCTGCACTGCAATCTGATTTCCTGAATCTATACTCATGAAGGACCAGCTGAGAGCTTGCCACTGTTAGTAATAGAAATTGAGGATTTTTATTTGTTACAAAGCTTTTTTTTTTTTTCCCCATACATTAGTTGTTGTCTGCAGTTACATGTTTTTCAAAGCTGTAATGAATAATATTATAATTAGAGTAGTGTAGAATATTAACAGTCTCTGTATGGTTGGTTTTTGTTTTTTTTTTTTTTTTTTTTTTTTTTTTCAAGGATACTTAATTTTAGAAAAAAAGACAATATCCTTCATTCATCACTTTATTTTATCAGACATTGTACCTGAGTTATTCTATTGTTATGACATTCTATGTCAAAACAAGAAATTTCATTTTCTAACAGTTGTAAGTATACGAATGATGCTCTCTTCCTCCCCAGAGTTAGTGGTGAAGAACAAGATCAATCTGTGTTTCATGATTAAATATAACCAACTGCCACTATCAATAAGGAATTTCAAAACAACTTTCTTCTCCTCATGACACTGATAGAGCATGCTGTGTCACATCATACATTGTCAGTGATTACAGAAAACCTGGGTAATGAGTTAGAGTTCTGGATTTGTTTTTAGAGCTTGAGTTGAATGTATCACTTCTAACAATAGTAATGAGCAACTGTGCTTCCTTCAGCGTGGAGTCTTCTCTATAGTGCTCTAAGAAATGGACCATTCTTAAGTCTTTGAACTGAATCCTCTTTTTCTTTTGTTTTTGTTTTTTAATGAAAACAGTCTACACATTTTTTGGTGCAGTATTTTACACTGACATCCTTTTATGTTTGTGTTTAACCTTTTTTTTTTTTTGCTGAGATTCTGTTGTACTGAGTCATCTCTCCCTCTAATTAACAGGGATTCTTGAATCTGCATTTGATTATGTGTAATTTCAGGATTCAAATGTATGAGAGACTAGAGTTAATCCATGATCTATCATGACAGCCCTCCTTTGTGAAGAAAATGCACCCAGCAAAGTACCAAGAAAACCCTGTCCAGAACCAAACCTGAAAGACTTCATTGTGGAAGAAGGGGCTGGGAGTGAAAGGAAAAAGCCTCCATTCGATTGTGCGACTAAAGTTAATGAATTGTAGAGTACAGCCCCAAAACTTATGTCCTTCTGGGTGAGACAGACCTAAATGAGAGTAAGATGAATGGCAGAAGGCAGCCATGTGTAACGTGACCTGACTAAAGATGAGCATTCAGCATGATTTTTTTTTTTTTTTTTTTTTTTGCTGTAGTCTGGTAGAGAGACCTGGGTGTTACAGTGAGAGAAACCCAACTCAGGACACAGAGCTGTCTCCATATATCTTCAAGCTTCCATATGTGTCCTCCTACTGAGGTGATAAGTCTCTGAGGTCTTTAACAT